TATGGAGGTGGACAAAACATGTGTACTCTAGCCTAAGATGATACAATAAATCCTGTAGAGTAGCACGTGGCATATATATCCTGTACTGTGAGTGTGAGTGAGTGAGTGAATGAGCATGGTTTTACGCCGCTTTTAGCAATATAGAAGCAATATCACGACAGGGGAAGCCAAAAGTGGATTGTAAACATTGTAACCATGTGGGGAATCGAACTTGGATTCTTTAGCGTGACGAGGAGAAGATTCAACCAATGGGCTACTCTACCGCCCTGTAATGTAATGCACAACATATATCCTGGACAGTAATACATAAAGGACCCTGTTATGTATTAGACAATTAAAGTAAGAGGTGTTTTTTTTTGGGGTTCAACTACAGGAACATCCACCATTTTGTTGGGTTGAGTTTCATCCGGCACTCTCAGAACCAGGCACCTAATCGCCAGCACACAAAGCCAAACGTATAATCTACTCAGCCACAACAGCTTCCACAAAAATGGAAGTCGGACAACTGGTAGTCTAGACCACGGACTTTGCGTACCCCTCTGATACGGCCAAAAGCTATGAATACATTCTGTGGGACTCAACCCCACAAAAGTATTAGAATCTGAACTTCACTGAGAAAGTGTAATCCCAACTATTACTATAATGTGTTACACTATATTTGATGTTACTTTAATAGTGATAATTCACAGAAAAGTGTTTTACCTACAGAGTACTTGGCACTGGATATCCATCTCAATATTCTCAGGTTGTTATGATGCCACGTGTACGCTCACTACTGGTTGAGCATGTGTTTCCCCAGCTGGTATTCTGCCAAACACTTGAGTCGGGCAATATTAACGCCGTTTACCCGGCGGCGAGGCTGTCGTCTTCCTAGCTGCGCGCTACACAGTTGACTTGAACAATGGAGCTATCAACACTTGTATTCTACAGTCTGCTGTTGAGCGGTATCAGAGGTGTATTTGTTGATGCCAGTTTGGCAGATTTGGCAACACGAGTTAGTCTTGTCGAAGGGGAGATTAATGCTTGGAAGCTTGCAGCTGTTACGACTGACGCTAAACTGATCAACAAGTTTATGGTGTTGAAGTCGTCACTGAAAGAAGAACTGACTGAAAGATTCCTTCCTCCCTTGATAACGCCTCTCGTCAAACAGGCAATTACTGAAATCCTTAACGAAGACTATATTGGCAATATTATAAGCGCACATGTCCTCGATGAAGTTCACAACCTCAAAGCCAATTTGCAAAACACGAAGACTCAACTTATAGCAGTAACGCAAGAGTTGAGACATGCTGAAAGGGGAAAGAAACACTTATAGAAAGAGTCTAAGAAGACTGCGTGGCAGGTTGACCAAAGACATCCGCGCATTGCAACGGCAGTTCAGTCTGACTGTAGCTGACTTGGGTGATGTAAGGATGCTGAAATCAGAATTGAATCAGACCAATGATGATCTTTTGGAAACAAAGCAACATATCACTGGTCTTACGGAGGACTTGATGGCACTGAATAAGAATTTTTGTTGGACTAAGAAAGAGATAAAAGAAAGTGATGTTAACACGACTTCGAACACGACGTATCCTGGAACTACAGCAGGTGAGTCTTTCAGCAAAGATTAGTCGCTTATCTTGAAATTCCAACCGGAAGATATGAGAATAACGTTATTATTTGTTTGAATTGAATGTTTACAGTCATACTGTATCCGTACTAAGTGTGTGTCTTCTGCTTTTGTCGGAGGTAAACTTTCAGTGTTTTATTTTGGAAACGTTTCATTTCCGAATATGACAGTGTTAAACTGCCATATGCATGTCCTGCATAGAGTTTATTGGGCGTGTCAAAATGGGGACAACCGTTGAGTTAGCAGGTAATGCCAACATAGGGCGTGCAACACATTTCGACATGTGATTTAGAGGTTTCCGTTTGTCTTTTGTACTTATTTTGTATCCGGGACAGAGAGAGAAATTTCAGTTGCTGCGCGTGTTGCTGTATGTAACCTGATAAAACGTTACATACAGACCGTGCAGACATCAGACAGAATACAAACTAGCACAGGCAGACCAATGTACCTTAACCCTGTGAAGACCGGTACTTGAGTACTCAATATACCTCAGGAATTGCTTCTGGACAGTGAAATCAACGACAGATGGCTTAGGGCACACGCGCAGACGACAGACAACAGGAGACAGTCGACAGACAATAGGAGACAGTTGACAGACAAAAGGAGACAGTTGACAGACAGTGGTAGCAGTCGACAGAAAATGGGAGACATTTGACAGACAGAGGACAGACAGTGGGAGGCAGTCAACAGACAGTGGTGGACAGTCGGCAGACACTGCGGGACAGTCGACAGACAGGCAATTCTCTCCTGAAGGAACAGGATCTTGCTGACCTTACATAGAACTGTTATCGACAACGTTCATCATCGCCAGAAACTGTGGAGGGCCCAGACTGTACCTTGTTATATGATACCCCAAATCAACTATCAAACAATCATGCTAAAAACTAGATTTTACGTGTCTGCAATATTATATCACAATATGTATGATGCTTGTTTGAGAGGCTAAGTAACACATGACTGTCACAGGGTACACGGACAGTGGTTCCCGTGTGGCACATTTGTGACGTCTTGTGCCCCTGGTTCCCATGCGGGACATTTGTGACTTCTTGTGCCCCTGGCTACCATGTGGGACATTTGTCACGTTTTTGCTCGTTGTCCCAACGTGGCACGTATCAACTTTGTGTTTCCAGTTATCAAGATCATATTCGGTTTAGATTCGTAAGTAGCAAATCTGTACGTTCAGAACTAAATCAGTAAACACTCTTGCAAGAGGAATATCAATGAATAACTGACGAACAATATTGGAAACACAAAGCATATAAGTTACGATCATAAACATCTATGCGTCATTGTTATCAGTTTAGCCCGACAGTTAAAATACAGTGCACCCTGGTTATAATGCCCCTGGTTATAATGCCCCCTGGTTATAATGCCACCCTGGATATAATGTCATGTTTTGCCAGAAGGGATTTCCTTCCTATATAATACCCTGGTTATAATGCCCCCGGTTATAATGCCCCCTGGATATAATGCCATGTTTTTGCCAGAACGGATTTCCTGTCTATGTAATACCCTGGTTCTAATAAAAAAGTGGATATTTATGGAACAAACAGACATTTTTCCCTGGTGAAAATGCCAATTTCACTGGCTGCATAGTAATAAGGGCATTTGTAATGCCCTGAATTCCACAACACGGAGGGCATTCTATATAATACAATCCTGATTATTATGCCCCGGATTATAATGCTGCCTCTGAGGCGCTAGAAGGTTAATGACTTATCCCACCGGATATAATGTTCTGTTGTTTGCCAGAACAATTTTGAACTGCCTCACTATAATACCCTGGACCACATAATGCCAAACTAGATTGTGGGGAACAAACAGGTCATTTTTCCCTGGACTTTATAACCTGCCTCTTTGCACTGGGCCACACGCCACCACATGTAGTAGAAATACCTTAATTGGTTAATTGACATGACACAAATTAATTGACCAAACTCATTAATGCTTTATGTAGTCATGCAATCCCAGATAGGATAAAACATGTGACAATACACTTCCTGCCACCTACAAAAACAAGTCACCTGCAGTCCCTGCAGTTATAATGCAATATTCTCTCCGGGACAAACGGTGGCATTATAACCAGGGTATACTGTACATCCCACGACCCCGCCCCTTTGCAATAGAGGTAGTCGGAACCATCCTTTTAGGCAACTCGAACATTTATACTTAGAGTCACCCCGCCATTGACCAACCACCCAGGACTCGAACTTATTTCGTCAGGTTGGACCACCATTACAATGTAATCGTCACACTTCCCATGGTCGCCCCTTCACCCCATGTACAACTCCAGTAATGAGGCTATATATGTGGGGCAAGCGCTGAATATCTCATCTTATTATATAACCATGTACAACTCCAGTAATGAGGCTATATATATGGGGCAAGCGCTACATATCTCATCTTATTACATCCATGTACAGCTCCAGCAATGAGGCTATATATGTGGGGCAAGCGCTGCATATCATCTAATTATATACCCATGAACAACTCCAGCAATGAGGCTATATATGTGGGGCAAGCGCTGCAGATCTCATCTTATTATATACCCATGTACAACTCCAGCAATGAGGCTATATATGTGGGGCAAGCGCTGCAGATCTCATCTTACATTACATCAAGATCAGCTGGTGTGTGAAGATCATTACGTTTACCCCCTGGATGTCTAACCTCGGTCTAGCTTGACCACTGTTGCTGCAAGCTGAATATCAATATCGCTGCCATTATGTCTGTTACTAATTTCCTTACAATTTACGATGCCGTTATAATTGTACTGCATTTGTAGTTTGTATTTCAACTCTGCTGAAATATTTCTGAACCTCTTCTGGTTGAACTTATTGAACTTCAGTTAGGAAGTGGACACCTGATGAGACTCAAACTGGTTTCGTCATGCCACAGCACCATTTCCACGACCACAGTATTACACCGATTCCGACTTGTTTCCAGTAAAATTGCCTAAACCCACTCGTCAAGACTCGGCCTGGTGTTGCCTGGCCAGAGCCTTCATGTCAGACCTGTCCAACACATTATATTTTTGTGAACAAATATTAGGAGTTTTGTGACACCAACAATCGGTGACTTAGGGAAGTACCCAATATGTCTATCGCATATGTTGTGATATGTAAATCCTACCAGATGCAATTGTTGTCCATGCCATACCATAGGTAGCACAAAGAATGATTGATTAGGAACATATACTACCCATCAAAAGTTTAGACTCACTAGTGTAAATGTAGTCACTTATTTCAGTCAACTGTTCTGAACTAGATTTTGCAAAATATTCCATACTGTTTGAAGGTGCTGTTTACACCTGAACTGATGTATTGTAAAACGAATTCGTAACGTTGAAAATATTATTGTCATGAGTTCAATAAATGATGAAACTCGGTGAAAATTGGCGAATTCTTAACAAAACTTTACACCAAAACGCAGCTGTACACATGCACGATATTTGCACATGCTTTTCAGCAATTTGATGCATGATATGGTGCGATTCATCTGCATAAATTGTGCAGTTGTTTCCCCAAGTTAGTGGAGAAATTCATCTTCGATGTAACCATATATATATTGATAACATATATAGTGAGTGGTTTTAAGTAGTATATGTTGTAATATGTTGCTTTCATCTGATAAAACCGGAGGGCAAACATGAGTCGGATAGACATATTTCCATACAGAGTTGTTGGTCAGTAAGCAGTCGAGCGCCAAACGTTGACATGCTCCTAACTTGACACGTCATAGTGACGTCATAGCTGGCAGCTTTGCGGTCGTGGTATCGCCAGTCAAGGCATTTCATAACTAGCAGTGAGATGTGTCGCTCGTTTTAGGACGTGATTGGTGGGTAAGTTCTCAGTTTCTGCTTTTAAACTGGTTTAGGAAATTGATGAACTAGTGTAAATGTATATTGTATAACTGCTGTAAAGCAGTATTAATGTTCTAGGAACCAAGTGCTTGCTTTACACAATGTTTACACCCAGACGTTTGTTTAGCCTGTCACCGGGCGGGGGATGAAGGAACGTCTGTGTAAATAACGCCCCGTTTCACCTTATAGGCTTGTTATATTTGATCAAATTATGTGCTTGTAAGTTTCATCCTTTGAACTGATAACATTTACAACTGTCACGGAAGATTTTCTGAGATTATTAAAAATCTGTTCAGTCAAGTAACGGATGTGTGTCATGTGCATATCTTTTGTTCTGCGTCAATAAATATCTGCATTGCATTGATTCGGACACGTGACGTAATTTCCATAGACTTACATGTTATTTCAGTGTAGCATAAATCATTTTCAGGAAGTGAGTTTAGGATTGATCTTCGTAAAATTTGACAGGCAAATTTAAAATTCACAAATGTGCAAAATTTGACTTGGATCTTACAAAAATAAAATTCAGGAAAATTATTTATGCTGCACTAAATTAACATGTAAGTCTATGGAAATTACGTCAAGTGTCCAGATACTTTTTGCACCACTCTGTACACCCCTCTACAGCACCATAATGGTGATTACATTGAAAGCCTGTAGCTTTGCTCTTTTAACACTGAAACCATAATGTGGAACACATGTATTTTGACAACACTTTCATAATATGCCATGGAATGTACAGTAGCTGGCCATAAGTGAGTCATCATTAGTGAAATTTCCATAGACTTACATGTTAATTAACTGTTGCAAATATAATTTTCATAAATTGAGTAGAAGTCATTTTATTTTGACATTTTGCAAACATCTCGGAAATCATCTTAGCTTCGTGAACATAATTTTCTTTCATCTTTCCGTTGATTAGTTATCGAATGACACCTGATTAAACACCATAAGTACAACTTAATTTTAATCTATCCCATAAATAGCCATGTTAAACCTGATTGGTATGTCTAATATATGTCGTGTAAATAGTTGCAGTTTTCGTAATAATCATCGGAAAATTTAATGGAAATTATGTGCATGTAGCTGAGATGATTTCCCAATTGGTAGATAAGTATGAAAGCAATTCGACCGAAACTAAACTTATGAAAATTATTCTTGCGTTATTCTTTCACTAATGATGACTCACTTATGGCCATTTACCGTAGATTATGGAAGGGCATATTCTTGTTATTTCTAACACTGAAACAAGACGGAATGTCAATCACTCGGTCTGCCGACATTTCGATCTTTACCACCACACACAGCCACTGTGTTTCTACCCTTGTTGTTTATCAAAGCACATTGCTTCCAACAACAAGTACGGCTGTGTCAGCTACACTTTCCACCTCAGATAGTAGTGCGAGAATTACACTACCGCCGTCGCTCGGTATGCTGACATTTTGTGAGTGTTTCACAGAGTTTGCCTGACACAAATTACAACTGTGTTGCACAAACACCGAATAAAGTTACCATGCTGCCCTTCACACTAGTGCAGTGGCTTATGGTGAAAACCAAGAGGAGCATCTCAGCTGTTAACACTCAGTCAGTGCACAGCTTATTACATTTTCAGATTCAAACTGTAAAAATATATTTAGTAAATGTGTTCCTTTTTTTCTGCGGAGACACGCGGTCTTGCTGAACAGGTATCTCAATCAATTCAAACCGTATATATGTAATACATCTGCTATAACAGATGTATTTGGAATTTATCCATACATAATATTGAAAGGCAAAACATATGTGGAAAGGCGAAAACTGAGGCCAGTAGTTATAATGACCTGATGATTGGGCCAGAACAAGCCCTGAAACGTACTCAAGAATGAAAAGAATATGTAACCCAGAAAAATCTCTATGTTCAATGTATGTATAGTTTTCTGATCAACATATTCCCTGTTTCAGCCTCGACTGACCCGAGCAGCACGGTTCCACCAGTGCCAATGGCGACACCAGACTCTGATCTACCGGGTAGGTGGGAGGAAGCTCAGTCCTTAATTCTTCCTGCATTTAACAGACTGATGTTATACCCGTTGAGATTCTGACTTGAGGGATGGGTCTCACCTATGGTATCGATCGACGTTCATGTTGTCAATCATAGGATTTCAAACTGTAAAAACTAAATTTAGGAAGGGTTACTCTTTTCCTGCATAGACACGTGGCCTCGATGAAGAGTTATCTGAATCAAATTAAACCATATATTTAATACTTCTTCCATAAGAAATGTATTTAGAATTTAATCATACATAATATTGAAAGGCACAACGTATGTGGAAAGGCGAAAACTGAGGCCAGTAGCTATAATGTATGTATAGTTTTCTGAATAATATACTCCCTGTTTCAGCCTCGACTGATCCGAGCCAGAGGAAGACGGTTCCACCAGCACCAGTGACGACACAAGATTCTGATCTACATGGTAGGTGAGGGAACCCAGCAGGCAGGAAGCTATAAGTCTTTAATTCTCCTTGCATTTAACACGCTGATGTATATACCCGTGGAGATTCTGAGATGAGTCTCGCCAATGGTATCAATCGACAATCATGTTGTCAATCAGAGGATTCCATGAACCAGATATTTATGCTGAGGTCGCCATCAGACAGCTGGAATACTGCTGAGTGTGGCGTTAAACAACAAACAAAACACTGTGACATAAACCAGCGTTATATCTTATGACCCTAATATATGCCAAATAACAGTTGTACTGACATTATCAAAGTTCAACAAACATTAACACTCTCCAGTCGTACACAAGATATTGTTACAACTTCTGGTTCTAACAGAAAGTTCTGTACTAAACACACCATCCATAATTCCAGAAACCACATGTTGACATTCCCGCCATGTTGTATTGTTGTCAGCCATGATGGAATTGTTTAAATAATGTAGCAATGTCCAAGTCACGTATTAACATGATGAAAACATTGTAGATGTGTGACAAAGATGTCTAATGTTCACAGTTTACTTTGTGTTGCAGCGACTCCATCACCAGTAGACCGCCGCCTCTACTCCGCCAGCAGGGACGGTGACCTGGAGAGAGTGAAGCGGATCCTGTCAGCGGGTCACGTGGACATCAACACTAGAGGAGACTACAGCAAGACACCGGTGATGATGGCAGCATATAGAGGACACAGAGATGTGGTGGAGTTCCTGGTGGGTAGAGGGGCTGATGTGTCACTGGTGGACCGTGTCGGTAACAACGTCATTCACTGGGCCTGTATTGGTGGAGACCTGGAGATCGTGAAGCTGATCCTGTCCCTGAACGTGGTGGACATCAACGCCAGGAACAACGGCGGGCGGACAGCGGCCGACAGGGCGAGAAACTTTGGACGTCAGCGAGTGGTGGATCTCCTGGTGTCACGTGGTGGACACTGAAGTCAGTGTTGGTGTGGACAGAGACCATCGCACATGACATTATTGATACTGACGAGGTTTGTGGCGTTCACGTTGTCGTGTGTCACGATTCAGGTGATTTCTTTTTTCCTTTCTGAATATAAATAAAACTTGTTGAATGTATTTTCAGACATTTTGTCATTTGTCGTGTTTAGAACCTCGCGTGATCAGGTAAGAAAATTGTGAAGTGAGTGTAAACATAAACGGTGAGTGATTGTATGTAAACGTCTCCAGTTTTAACATTATTCTGTGTTAATTCTGTTCTGAGAATGTCGCGAATTGTGAAACAGACAACAACAAACTGTTTGTTTACATGTCCCTGCACTCTGTGACCTCAGACTGAGCCAAGGTTCACCCAGTGGCGTGGCGCAATTTGTACAGTGACAGTGACGTCACACTGCTGGTGACGTCACGGATATACACTAAGTAGCCCGGCCGTCATCTCAGCCAGATGGGACATAGAGCGTGTCAAATAACATCATGCGGTCGGGAAGGAAACGTTTGATCGTTTAACAAAGGAAGAATGGACATTTGTAGCTGATTACTGCTGAAATTTAACCCTTTTACGATTGAACACACATTATACAAAATCAAACACATAACAATCATCGGCCTACCTTCAGAATACAGCACCACAAACTTTACAAATACGTCATAATACCCTTTTACGTAATGTAATGTGATTTTGTTCGAAAACTCGTTCTCGAAACAATGCCCTATGACGCCTGCATGGTAACATGGTTGTCTGGCTCAGCGAGTGCGTATAAGCTCCGCTCACTGATGTTTCATCTCTACTAGCTATGTCATTGCATAAGCCCAACGATGTTGAGAGTTTCCAGTAGTTGTATACCGGCGGATGCACAATATTTTGCAAGCACCAGTTTGGAACATTTTTCTTTTTTCACTAATACGCTCATATTTATTTGTATTACGGGCTGCTGAGGTGTTATGTTTTGTGTATTTTGTAATTTTTTAAATTTACATATATATTTTTGTCATTCATGAATTTGCACCATTACATATTTTTCGAAGCGGTAATAATGCATTACACTAGACACATCAGTCGTGTTTGTGCCGGTTCGGTCAATGCATTCTATTTATTAGGATTAATTCAAGGGGTGAGGGTTAGGGTTAGGGCTAGGGCTAGGGCGAAGGTTAGGGCTAGGCTTAGGGCTTAGGGTTTGGGGTTGGGGGTTGGGGACCTAATGCAATATAGTAGGTACATGTCCGGTTGTTCGGTCAATGCATTCTATTTATTAGGATTATTTCAAGGGGTTAGGGTTAGGGTTAGGGCTGAGGGTTGAGGGTTTAGGGTTAGGGACCTAATCCAATATAGTAGGTACATGTCCGGTGTAATACGTACGTGAGTACCATTTGTTGTTTTTCCTTTTGGCATTTTAACAACATTAGTTGAACACATTCTAGTATAACATTCTTTTTGCACACAAATATGGGAAACCAAGAACGTGGAAAGTACATTATGAAATGGGTTAATGTAGAAATTTGGGGCTAATGGAAATTGGCCTGGAATTTGCACTCAAGCCTCTTTCACACGCAACAGAAATTTTGTAAAGTAATGATTCAAAGGCTAACTCACCCCCGTGCCGTCACTACACATGCTCTTGTCTCCCTCGTTCCTTAGTGCGGTCCACATTATCCTTACAGTGTTCCCTACATGACTTTTCTGTCACAAAATCACCGATTTATATAAAAGCGCGTCATTCATGCATGCACCGTGAAATCTACGTCTGACGCCTGACGTCAACAACCCTTTTCAGTTTGAGGCATATCGGCTCATACCACGCCACACGTTAATTTGTAGATTACGGAATGGGACGAGTGTGCCAAATGGCATCGGATCCATTCGGCAATTGTCCGTAGATTAGAATCACGAGACACCAAGTCTACCCGTAGCATTCGTAATTGTCTGTGACCTATTCGACTCTTTCCGTTCATTTCCGTGACGTCACAGGAGTGACTCGATAAATTTGCACATCGTGCAACAGTGTGGACGTAGCTCAGTCAGCTATCTGTCGAGCTATCAGGCCTCAGACCACAATTATTTTCCTTCTTTGCTATCTACAGTGACATGCCAGTGCACCATAATTAATATCGGCCGTAGGCTGTTCTCCTGTTGCATGCTGACCAATCTGCCACTTGTCACTTAATCGGCAAAATATGAGCCTGGGTCGACCATGTCAATTTTGCTGTATCCACTGTAAACAATGGTCACCGGAAGCTACGAGCCGAAACACACTAGACAGCCTTGAACTTGGGGTCAAATCAAGGAAGGCTGGTGTCAATACCATGAGTAGATTGTGGACCAAAAACATTTTGCAATAAAGTACAATGTCTTACCTTTCATTTAAGCTATCACAAGTCACCCTGAAAACATTAGCACAAGCAGAACAGCCCATTTAAACAAGGCACTATATTCTCATATTTTACTTCCGGGTCATTGTAAAAGTTAAGGGGGGTAACTGTGGTCTGAGGCCTATCAATCCGAAGGTCGCGGGTTCGCGTCCGACGGGTTCTCTCAAACTGGTTGCTTGTCTTAATGACACTTGACCTACGGCTGAGATCGTCGTCACGAGAAGTTGTGGTGCTGTATTCTAAAGGTGCTCCCAATCATCACCCAAATCATCTCAGCTTTATTAATTCAATGGATGCCAGGAAGACAAATATTCCCCCAGTTCTCTGTTTCTTGATGTAACATTGTTTTTTAGGCAAAGTACAATTGCTGATATGGCCGGTAAGAATTATATACTTCGTAAATCTCGCCATATTTGACTAATGAAATCATTCGCGGCATCGTTTGCTGTATGTTGCAAATGTAAATATCGGATAATTACCCGTTGAACTGAACTGAAAAATTGTCTATTAGAGATCACTGGTATGTGGTCTTTTTTAACAAATCGCCAATAGTTATTCTGAAACGTCCCCTTTAACCCTGAAATCGTTTGGACTGTCTCTGAAGTAAACATAAACGCCGATGTGAGCTCTCCGTTATGTTCGATAGTGTTTACAGAATCATGTTTCACGTAAGCTGGTCATGAGACGCCTGTTACGTCACAAATATTCAATTCCTAATGTATTTAAAATCAAAAGCGTGATGGTCTTTGTTCAAATAGTTTTTTTTATATTAACCCCCTGGATGCCGTCAGACAGTGTTAATGATATTAACCCCCTGGATGCCCTTCAAAAAAATTTCATGATACTAAACACCTGGATGCCGTTCAAATAATGTTGATGGTATAAGGCCCTGGATGCTGTTCAAATAATGTTGATGGTATAAGGCCCTGGATGCCGTTCAAATAATGTTGATGGTATAAGGCCCTGGATGCTGTTCAACTAATGTTGATATTAACCCCCTAGATGCCGTTCAAATAATTTTGATGATACTAAACCCCCAGGATGCCGTTCAAGTAATCTTGATGATATTAAACCCCAGGATGCCGTTAAAATAATGTTGATGTTATTAACCCCCTGGATGCCGTTCAAATAATGTTGATACATGTATTAACCCCTGGATGCCGTTCAGATAGTGTTGATGATATTAACCCCCTGAATGCTGTTCAAAGAGTGTTGATGATATTAACCCCCTGGATGCTGTTCAAATAGTGTTGAAAATATTTACCCCTGGATGCCGAGTTGTGTTTTCTTTGTTCCGACATACAAGCCTGAAAAGTGAACGTTGTCGCTATAAAAGTGCACAGTTATGTAGAATATTCAATTAAATTCTCTATCCGATGTTTCTATGAAGATCCGTGTTAGACCTGATGTAACTGGAATTCTGCTAAACCCAACTCACTCACTCATTCCATAAGCGACCCGTGAAGATCTGAGTTAGAATTGGTCTTTAGCAACCGACACTTGTCGTAACGGTATCTTGTGGCCAGGCTGGCTGACTTGGTTGACACATGTCATGTTTACAGACCGCCGCCATATAGCAGGAATACTGTTGAAAAACAAACAACCAACAAATCAACCAATCCTATCCGATCAGTGAGTGAGTGAGTTTAGTTTTACAGCGCACTCAGCAATATTCAGCAATCCAGTGATCAACATCATGAGCATCGATCTGCACAATTGGGAACTGATGACATGAGCCCGACCACCCGATCCCGTTAGTCGCCTCTGACGACAAGCATGGGTTACTGAAAGCCAATATTCTAACCCGGATCTTCACACCTATAAACCTATCCAATGAGTGGGTAACTGAAGGCCAATATCTAACCCGGATCTTCATGGGTATAATCCTATCCGATGAGTGGGTTACTGAAGGCCAATATTCTAACCTGGACCTTAACGGGTATAATCCTATCTGATGAGTCGGTTACTGAAGGCCAATATTCTAACCCGGGTCTTCACGGGTATAATCCTATCCGATGAGTGGGTTACTGAAGGCCAATATTCTAATCCGGGTCTTCACGGATATAATCCTATCCGATGAGTGGGTTACTGAAGGCCAATATCTAACCCAGATCTTCACGGATACAATCCTATCCGATGAGTGGGTTACTGAAGGCCAATATTCTAACCTGGACCTTAATGGGTATAATCCTATCTGATGAGTGGGTTACTGAAGGCCAATATTCTAATCCGGGTCTTCACGGATATAATCCTATCCGATGAGTGGGTTACTGAAGGCCAATATCTAACCCAGATTTTAACGGATGTAATCCTATCCAATGAGTGGGTTACTGAAGGCCAATATTCTTACCCGGGTCTTCACGGGTATAATCCTATTCGATGAGTGGGTTACTGAAGGCCAATATTCTAACCCGGATCTTAACGGGTGTAATCCTATCCGATGAGCTGGTTACTGAATGTCAATATTCTAACCTGGACCTTAACAGGTATAATACTATCCGATGAGTGGGTTACTGAAGGCCAATATCTAACCCAGATCTTCACGGGTATAATCCTATCCGATGAGTGGGTTACTGAAGACCAATATTCTAACCCGGATCTTAACGGGTGTAATCCTATCCGATTAGCTGGTTACTGAATGCCAATATTCTTACCCGGGTCT